CCGTCACGCTCCGCAGTCACGGCCTCCAGGCTGCTCTCAACGCCGGCCTTCGCCTCTTCAACGGAGAGCAGCCGGCCCGTCAGCTCATCCTTCGTAGCTGACAGCTCCTCCTTCAGCCCGTCACGCTCCGCAGTCACGGCCTCCAGGCTGCTCTCAACGCCGGCCTTCGCCTCTTCAATGGAGCGCAGCCGGCCCGTCAGCTCATCCTTCGTGGAAGAAAACTCCTCCTTCAGCCCGTCACGCTCCGCAGTCACGGCCTCCAGGCTGCTCTCAACGCAGGCCTTCGTCTCCTCCATGGAGCGCAGCCGGCCCGTCAGCTCATCCTTCGTGGAAGAAAGCTCCTCCTTCAGCCCGTCACGCTCCGCAGTCACGGCCTCCAGGCTGCTCTCAACGCAGGCCTTTACCTGCATCAAGGAGCACTGGTTTCGACGACGAAGGAGGAACCGACTCGCCATCTTCACACCACACAGAAGGAGGCGGCCAGCATAGAGATAAGTCATGATGCCATTACTCTGTAGATTTACGGACTGAAAGACGAGCTGACGATCCTTAGCCTCCTCCAAGAGGCACAGCTGGGTCGTCAGCTCATCCTTCGTAGCTGACAGCTCCTCCTTCAGCCCGTCACGCTCCGCAGTCACGGCCTTCAGGCTGCTCTCAACGCAGGCCTTCATCTCCTCCATCACTCGCTGCTCTTCACGCAGCGCCGCACTCTGCTTTTCAGCCGTCTCGAGGCTGACACGCAAACTTCGTTGGGCTATCGCTGACTCGTCAAGCTGGCGTCGAAGGTCGCCTAGCGCATCGGTCACTGTCGCCAGCGCAGATTGCCGTTCTGCCAGCTCTGCCTCGTAGCGGCGCTCCGCTGCAGCACTCTCGTCAGCGTACCAGTGTGCGCTCTGGTTCAGCTGGTACTCGTGCTCAACGCCGAGCCTCGCCACCAGCCCGTCAACGCACTCATCGCGTAGGCTCATCACCGAGAGCAGGTGGTACACCGTGTCATCGTGGCGCAGATCCATCTCCTCCACCTCCGTGCGCAGCAGCAACACAGCGTTCTCCAAGTCGTCCCGCTCGTCGCGGAAGCGCTCCAGGTCGCACAGCAGGCGCCGCTGTGTATCACGCTCGGACTCAAGCTGGTGCATGCGCTCTGCAAGCTCCGCGTTCTGTCGCTGGAGTTCCGTGCGCTGCGCCTCCGACTGCTGCGAGTCGTGCAGAGCAGCGTTCAGCTGCTCCTGACGTTCGCTCAGCACACGCAGCGCCTCCTCACGCTCGCAGCGCTCCCGCTCAAGGTCTGCCATCGTCTTTCGGAGCTGTTCCTGGCCGCTCAGCACCTCAGCGTCCTTCCGCCGCCGGACACTCTCCACCTCCGCCTCACGCTTGCGCATCTGCTCCAGCAGCTCACGCTCACGCCGCTCATGCTCCTCCCTCAGCCTCTGATTCGCCCGTTCGTGGTACTCAGCCTGGCGTCGCGACTCCTCCACCTGCCGCTCCAGCTCGGTCGCCTTGCCCAACAG